TTAGAATTGAAATGAATTTCGGATTTGTGGCTTATGAGAATGGATGATTTGGTTCACACCTCGTGTTGGTCACTTTTCATTTTCAGGGCGTGACATATGTTATGAAGAAGTCTTATTCCATTAAGTGAGATGAATATATAGATTGTACAAATGTAATAACTAAAGTCCCTCCTTAATTAACGTAACATAGATTTCTATTATCATAACAAGCAAATCCTATACAAATCCTATATATAATTTTTTTTAAACTTAAAAAAAAAAAAGCTTCTTAGATCTAAATTAAATTTAATTATTTTTTGGAGTAGGAATTTTTGAGCAAGCATGTAATAGGTATTTAATTAAAGAATATGAATCCATTTTTATCCTTGTGTAAGAAGCCTCAAACAATTTTATTGTTTGAGGTGGTTCGGACATGTACAAAAAAGACCACGAGATGCACTTATGAGGAAAGTTAAACAAATAATTTTAAGCCTTGTCAAGGAGGGTAAAGAAAGGCTAAAGAGAATACTTTTAGAAGTTATTGAGCGAGACCTTTTATTATTGTTGTTGGCAGGCGTTATGATTCATATGCTTTGTTTCTTTTTAATAAAGTGAAAAAAGCTGATGAACATAAAAAAAATTGCATTTTGGGGGGCAAACCATAAATAATATTTAAGAAAAATTACATGTAGGTCCTGTGAAATATACTCATTTATAAATAAGTCCAACAAGATTTTAAAACTATAACTAAGTCCCTTGAAACTTAAGTATACTTTGAAATTAGGGTGCAAAAATAATATTACCCTTACTTATTGGATATTTATGGCTGTAAAAAGTTGAAGACATGATTGTAAATTATTAATAAAATAGTTGTAAATAATTAATGTTAAACTTTGTTATTAACACTTGATTAGTTTAACTATTAAATATATGAAGTTATAATATATTAAAGTGATAGTTGTACATTATTAATAAGGTAACTGTAAATAATTAATATTAAACTTTGCTAATAATGCATAATTGGTATAACTATTAGATATATGAAGTTATAGATGTAAAATGTTAAAGTGATTGATGGTTGTAAATTACTAATAAGATGGTTAGATACAATTACTATTAAACTTATAATAGTTAAAGTTATAAAAAGTTGAAGTAATAGTTATAAATTGATAATAAAATAGTTGTAAATAACTTGATTCATATAATGTATTTTTAATAGAGGTATTGTTATCTATATACCCCAATTTTAAATTACACTCAAGTATCAAGGGACTTGATTGTGGTTTTTAAATTTTATGAGATTTATTTATAAATAAGGCTACTTCATGGGATCTATACATAATTTTCTCTAAGATTTATTATCTATGAGATATTTTATTAATAACTTGTTATTTTTTACCAACAAGGCTCAATAATATGACAAATGAAGATTTAAATTTTTGTTAAAAGAGGTACCTACATTTCATTAGAATGGGATTGCCTCCAAAAAGAGGATATATATAAATAATTTAAAAACTTGTTATCTTTTTACAATATTTTTTTTTACTTTAGTGGATTCTAAAAGTATGAACATATTATTTTATTTCGGAATTTATTACCTATAAAACATTAAAAGATAATCTGAAAATTATATAAATACAAAATATATTAATATGATATAGGAAAAATATAATATAAAAATAATTTTTAAATATTATTTGTCACTGTCAAACATATTTTGATTTTTTAACAAAATAAAAAAATAAACATATAAAAAGGAGAAGCGCATTCAAGGATATGTGAAAAGTGTTAACACACAAGGATTAATATAAAATAAATTGTTGTTAAAAGAAAACATGTACTTTTTTTTTCTAATTAATAATCTATTATTGATCATGATGTGAATAACATTGTTCACAAGTTTTTGAATGGGATAAGATAAGATGTTTTTTATATAAAAAAAAAAATCAGAGGGAGGGGCGTGAATTCTTTGTCCTTTTTTGAGAATCACGACAAGATAAGTGAGATAATACGGCGCAGGTGATTATTTAATTTTTTAAAACACATCTCGTGCAACACTTGGAAAAAGGTTTCTAATTATAAATAATATTGATTTTTTATATGTAGTTTGATGTATCTCAAGTCTCAATAAATGGGGCATATGTTATTTTAAGAAAAAATGATAGAAAAATCTCTTAAAATATACAAATAATAATGACCTTATGTGAAATGTGATAATTTTTTCAAGTTTTTTAAAGCCTTTTTGATGTTGATATATTTTGTGAAATGATTGTAATGCCGGAAATTAAAAGTAAAAAAAATGGATCAGTAATTAAAAAGCTTGCAGAATGAAAACTTATCATTTACTATCTCATTTTAATCATTTTCAAAAGAAAAGTAATTATTATCTAAATCAAAGTAGTAACTAATACTTACAACATTTGGGAGCGCATCATAATCATTTCGTGAAAGATATTAATATCAGAAAAGTTTCAAGGAACTTTAAAAAAATTACTATATTTCACAGAATCTCATTTGTATATTTCATGAATATTTTTTTTTTATCATTTCCCCTTTTTTATTACTATGAAAAATAAATTTTATACACATGTAGCATCATTTCAAAACATTATTATATCATTTTTAGGACAGCTAACTTGGCCATGTGGGATTCGTGCGTTGCATATCTATGAGCAACATTTTTCATATATAATAACTCATGAATAGTCTAGTTTATTAAAGCTTTTCTGTTATATATCTAGAATTATAGAGTTAATATATACTTTTCACTAAATTGTTAGGGTTGAATATGCTACATTCTAATATAAGAATTTTAAGAACATGAGATAATTTGCCGCTGGCATCGATTCATAATTAATAAATATTCACGAACAGTTACAGCATGTATCAATATAAAAATACGATAAATGAGGCAGTTTTTTCACATGTCATACAAAATATGGATTAAATTTAATGACTTGCGATTAATTTGTTTTCTTTGATGTGCATCTTAAGATGTGTGTCTGTGTGTGTGTGTGTGTGTGTGTAACCACCACATAAGGAGAAGTGAAAGTTGATAAGGAATAGCAACTAATGGGTGCATGGACATGATCACTAGAATAGAAAAATAGGGGTGTTGATTGGCTTGAGTAAAAAACTCATAATATGAACAATAATGAGTAGATTATCATGAGAGATAATCCTTCCTTCCTTCTTAGTTCAATGCTTTACCTTCCCTTGTATTAATTAAAAAGAGTTGACAAAGAATCATCCCATTAATAAAATGGTTTTATATGCAACTTGTTGGGGTCCCTTGTTAAATAAGTGGTGACAAATAGGAGGTATTCTTATTTTCTTTTTCTAACTATTGCTCAAAACTCTCTAGTCATAAATGGATCATTCTCCAAACACTCGCTCAGGAATAGGAGAAGTGAAGTTGATATGGAATTACATAAATAAATAAAATGGTTTTGTAATAAAACTTGTTGGGGTAAAATAGGACAGATTCATTACTATTTTTTTTTTGTTGATGAACAATTGGACCATTCTTGTCAGGAATTGGATAGTACTGTCTAAATATGTGAAAATAAAGTTAAAGTATTTATGTTATTTCTATATTTTTATTATAATTATAAGATATTTATTTAAGTATACATATTGTATTTGAGTACTCCATAAATTAGTTTAGGGCAAGACTTAAGTTCTTAGTTTTACATACTCAATATATTTGTATCTAATCAAATCAAAACAAATGGATTTTAGTTTGTAAATAATACTAATAGCAAGAATTTACTATATAATAAATAATCTATAAATGATACACATTGGAAACAATCACTAACTGTAATATAGATTTTCCCCATTAGTTTATATTTGAGGAGAACATTTAGGGAAAAATTGCTGGACAATACTAGAACATCATATTAATTACGTAATCCCTTGAATCTGGAGAAGTCCAAGGTCCTTTAGTGTCAATATTTTTAAAAGTTAAATAACTAAATTACCCTCACCAAATCCTCTCGCCCCTTCTCCTCTCAACTCCCATGCAATTTCTGGCAGCAATTTGCATCATTTTGGCCGGCCCTGGTTCTAACAACGACATTGAATGGTCATGATTCCGACGGCGATGATGAGTAAGGTGAGGTCTTAATGGTTTTTAAGATAACGAAAGACTCTTATCTCAATTGATCATGTGACTCCTACTCTGAATTGTAAACCCTAAAATCCATTCATCATATCGTCGTTCCTTCATCTCTACTCCAGCAACCTATGGTGAGTGTGAGGTGCAATGTGAGGTTGAAGTGATATCGTGCAGGGAATGGAGTGTCAAAGCAGAAATTCAACGGATGCAAATATCAAATCCATTTTGAATGCTCTCAGAGATTATGAGCATCTAGCTAATTTCATCCCTAATCTTGTTTGGAGACGATGAAAGATCAACATCATACCATCACCAGGAGAAGGTAAAGTATGGGATCGGACCTGTGAGGGTTTTTATCTATGCACATTGGCTTGGGAACCAGGAATTCTGCCATTGCTGCCATGGGAGGTGGGAAGCCGACTGTACATGAGGGGTACTCAATCTTGCATTCAGATGCATGCAGCTAAAGTACATGCTTTCGAGATCAAGCTTGTCATGATCACAATACTTTAATTGAATTGGATATCCAATGACCATTATAATGAAGATGCCAATAAGAACTTGATGTGTTTTTTAGAAGTGTGTGATTCTTCGAACAAAATGAGAAGCTTAAAAATATCTTTAGACTGCAGTTACTTCCTCTTTCTCATCATCACAACAATGGCAATGACTTTGATTTTGGATTGCGACATCATCCCTTAGGTAATTTATTGGGAGTTCGATTTCCTGGCTTCAGCCTTCATGTGTAAACGAAGTTCAAAATTCAAAGATACTTCTAGAGATTAAAAAATGTTTGAAAAACCTCATTTGGTTGACATTGATTAAATAAATAAAATCTTTAATAAAATAAACTAAAAGGCATTTAAAATGAGAGAAATTAGAAACAGATACACGTACAATGTCTCAAACTTAATTTTTATTTATTTGCTGGTGCTTTATGCATAGCCAGCATACGATACAACATCAAGGACATCATCAAAGCAGAGAATTACATTTCCATTTATTTAGTACAATTTTTTATTTATTAAAGTGCCGATAGTGGCAATAACGCCATAACTATTTAAAATGCTATTAGAATAGCATTTCCGCAGCAGATTCAATAAGTGGCTAAACGAGTGAAGAATCCTTTCTTCACTTTCTTCGTGCCCTTTCCAAGACGACGAATGTTTTCTTCATAAAGAATCTGAGCTAGCCTACAAAAGTGAAAACATATATAAAATGGTTATTGTAAACACAGTAAAAACACAGAACAGTTAATTTATTTCTTTCTTTTTTTTAAAGGAAGGACACTACTTTTCTTTTTTAAATATAAAAAATCTAATTTTATCAATATATATGTCAACAATCAATAATAATTCAATATGATGGGCTATGAAGACTAAAGTAATATTTATAATTTGCGGAGGAGTCAAATTATAAATACCACGAACTTAATTTATAAAAAGTGACTGTGATTATCGGGTTGGTTGTATATGTTGGAAAAGTTTCCTATTGTTTTTTTTTTTAATGAATGAATAGTTTCCCATTTTCCCGTCTTAGATGCATTTAGAAATTTCCTAGGGTAACAACTAAAATTTAAAAATAAGTAAAAAATATTGATGCAACTAAGGATTTAAGTGTCAAATTAACTTTTAAATTGTAATTGAAATTTTTATTTGTAACTGTTTGAAAAATTTACAATTTGTTTTTTTTTTAAATTTTTATCAAAGAACTAACTGTCATTAACTCAACCTTTTGAAACCTAACTATCATTTTTCCTTGTAATGGACGCTTCTAAAAGGCATACTGGTTTGTAAATTCAAAGTGACGAATTCAGATTTATACATCCATCCAGATATGTCAATCTTTCATGTAAATAATACATAACATGGCTCAAACATCAAACACGGTATGACACAAGTTTATTTGTAAACAAAACTTGTTTGCATTAAAAAAAAAAGTTTTTTTGGCGTGTTACGTACTTGTCCAGGGCTTCAGCATTGGTACCTTCACCAGTTTCCTCAGGGACAAAAGTATCCACATTCATCCTTTTAACTGGTTGATTCAACAAATTCTGTCCCACCTCTTCTAGTTTATCCATGTTTTCTTCTGAAGCATCATCCGAACTAATGTTTGGATCTAAATTGTATTCCTGTCCCGAGTGTAGTCATACATATATACACATGATATTGCAATTATGCATGATTAACCATTAATAATGATAACGAATTAGGTTTAATTAACTAACACATACCTGAATTCGAAGGTAGTTTTCCTGAGGTTGAAGTTGGAAAGTTGAGTTAATGTAATATTCATTCATGGCTGAAGATGCAGCTTCAATCATAGTTAAAGCGCTATCCTGCCATTCCTGGAGAGTCCAAGTATGATTAGCATCAAAACCCACGACGCCGGAATTGTTTACATTTCCAGTTCCTATAGATAGCATAATGATTTCTCTGTTCTTGTACTCTTCTTGTCGTAGCACCTCACCGATTGCAAGCCTTGCCTGTGAACAGAATAATTAATGGATTGATTATATATGTGATTGTTTTTCTCCTTCCATTATGAAAGCTTTTGTTATTTTTTTCTTGGAGAGGACAAGATATATATGGAAATGGAACCAGTTTTGTTCATGCTGCTTATCAAGGTGATGAGATTTGGATAGTCCAGATTTTAATATAAACTGTCTAAATTATGATATTAAATTTGAATTATTCAGAATACATTTTGATGGTCAATATATAATAATTATAAAATAAATACTTTTTTCCAAATGGTGTCCATCAGCCAAAACTGTTTCCAAGTATATATAGCTAAACGTATAGGAAGGCCACACACTTTTCACAGCAGCTTATTTAGTACGTGGTTTAGTTGTGTAGACAGAAAGAAATTAAAGAGTTGGCTTCCCTCCACTGCAGTGAAATAAACATTGCAAATTTGGACCATCAAATTAGATTTGATAATTTTAAAAAAATATATAGTAACTCATATCATTAAAATTTAATCTAAGCAGCTAAAGTTAGAGTAGAGGCACAGTGGAGGTAAAATGAAGTGGAGAGAAACCAAACCCTAAAAAAAAGGCATCAAATAATAAAAACAATTCATCAATATATATAGCCACTAGCCAGAAGTTATAAATACTGAGGTTCATTCCTTAAGCTATAGTAAAATATAAAATTTATAGAAATTGATAATTAATCACATGTCATAAATAATGCCATTCATCATTGAAACTCTATTAATTATAGGGAAATATGTCTTGTTCAAATTAGACTTTTATGGTGATAGTTTTAATTCCTGTAACAATTTTGTTATTTAGTAACAGTTCAAAAGCGGCCCCATATTCTTGAAAATTGTTGTTTAAAGGTATAAGTAACCATTTTCAAGTGATTGCAACTTGAATGTTGCTTATTGCTTTTAGGCAAAAGTTCTTATACTTGGCCACATCATTTGAAAAACTAGTTCTTAAAATAGGCAAAAATTTTGGAATATTTCTTTTCATATAAACACATGTCACGTTTAATAATTGCTACGAAATTTTGTTTAACAGAGTTGCAAAAAATATTAAATAGCCACAATTGAATATTTCTTTCTCCAACTAGAATTTGAACATTGATTTATTGTAGATTCAAATATTGATTTATCTCTCTCTCTCACATACTCACACTCACACATAGAGATGATTATTTTGAAATGTTGCCTATCAGAATAGGGAAAAATTTTAAAATGTTGTGATTAAAATACTTTTAAAGGAAACAATTTATATTAACTATTTGAAAATTTTATTTCAACACTTGAAAAATATTATCAATAATTTTCAAGTGTTGCCAAATATTTGTTGCTTAAAGTAGGAATTTATAGCAATATGTAAAAATTATTGCTTGTGTCTGCATTAAGCAACACTATTGGAAATTAGTGACGAAGAAAACTGTTACTTAAAGGGAAAAAATGTTACAGTGATTTCATTTATAAATATATGTCAATTTCTTTGAGACACAAATTTTTCAATGTGTGATATATATACTTAATCACGGCATGTTTCACGACCTATTCATGGATCGGCTCCATCCTCACACTCAGTGTAATACGAAGAGCCCACACGTAGTGATAGCATCATATATATATATATATATATATATGGTTTTCAAGGTTAAAAACACGTGTTAAGAGAGAGAGAGAGTAACAAGGCTGAAAATTACCGGCATACTTGCAATGAAAAGACCATCAACGAGATTAAATTCAGTATTATTGTATTTGAAATAATAGGGTGGAAACACGATCGGTGCTGCTGAGGTTCCTATAGATGCGTCGGAGAGTTTGACATTTAAGTGAGGAACATCCTTTATCTGCATCGTACACACACACAGACACACTTAATTTAGTGGCCTGTCTTTCTTTGGCTTGAGTTAATTCATTAAATAGAAACACACACACACACACACACAAAATAAACCTTGAAGCTTGAGAATATAGTTGGCAGAAGAAGCTTGATGTCGAAGGAAGAAATGACAACATTTGTGGTTGTCTGGTTTAGAAGCGTTTCATTCAATATCTCGGCTGCTATTTTTCGTAAAAACGTCCCGTTGAACTTCGGACACTGAATACCAGGATATTGGCTGTTGACAAGAAACAAATTAAAGATATCATCATTTTAGCAATGTTTTTCAATAATATGGATTATGACCAGGATAATGAAGCAAAGTTCATCATCAAATTATTTGTTTGAATTATGACCAGATCTATCTTATACTCCTCTAGTACTATTTATAGGGGCAGAGAGATAATATTAATTTTAACCCTATTTATAAGACACTTTACTATTTTCTATATTTATCTTTTCATTGTCCTTATTAAATGTTAGAAAAAATTATTAAAATTATTAAAACTAATTCATTTTGTCCTTATTAGGGGTAGAGGTGGAAATTATTAAATTTTAAGACATTAAGGTTTTCTTTGATTTTGGTGAAATATGTTAAAAATAACTTATAAATAGGATAAAATGGAGTAATATATTTTAAGATTATTCTCTAACATATCGACAAGCATTCATATACATACCAGTCGGTGGATAGAGTGAAGATGGAAGGACCATATTGTCTGTAGAACTGGAGAATTTCATCAGCAGGATAGAGAGGACGATCTGGGTTTTGAGGGTCAGGGGTAGTGAGCATTGCAGTTATAAGCCCTCCAGTGCTGGTCCCAGCAACCACATCAAAATACTCTGCTATTCTCGCACTTGAGTTCCGTTTCTGAAGTTCACCCATGTACATTCAAATATTATTGTTTTTGTTTATGTCAAATATAGATGTCTAGATAATACTAGTAGTAAGGAAAATATTAGATGTATGATAATCTCACTTTAAGTGATTAAAGAATTAATCACAACTATATAAATGTGTGGTCAAACCTTCCAAAGTAATTTAAGCTACTTTGGTAAAAGTGGCAAGTCTTAGTGTATAATTAATGCAAAATTCTAATACAGTTCAAGATCTGGGGCCATTTGTTACTTTGAAAGAAAGGAAAAAAGAAAAGAAAAATATTGATAGTGAAATAAATAAAGAAAAGGAAAAATAGTTAAGAAACTTATTAGATATACAATAGCTTGAGTGATTAGTGAATTAACCACAATTATATAAATGTGTATGGCGAGTCCTTCCAAATTTTCTCAAACTATTTTGGTACAAGTGACAAACGGTAGTGTATGATTTATGCAAAACTTGTAATTATTAGATTTGATGTCTAGATGATGTTTTTGTATAAACGAACACAAATATACCTGGAGGGCAACTTCAAGCTGTTTAAGAATAACTCCCGGTACAATCCCTTTAATACCCCCTCCATCAATGGCAAGGACTCTAACCTTTCCTTCTTCATCGTCTTCCTCAACAATTGCAAATGCAGAGAATACAAAGAGGAACAAAAGGAAGAGTGCAAGTTTTGACTTCATAATGGAGAGAAGGATGAGACTTCTAGGGCTTAAAAGTACAGAAACTTTGATGAGACTTTTGTAGCTTGAGTGGTGTGAATTCGTTGATGCATGGCTAGGGTTTATATAGAAATTTGATCGTGGCGAGACAAAATACCTATTACGCATAGGCCAAATGGAAATTGAACATATGTTATGCGTTATTGAGTTATAAACACATAGAAACACACAGCATTTAATCTACTGGTCCATATTTTTTTAAATGATTGAAGGGAGGCTAAACTAGCCCTATGGGGGATTGAATCTACCACCACTCCTAGTGGCCCTTATTAATGGTCCAGTTTAGTGGTCCATGAGTTAATTCACAATGATAAAACTGAAGATTTATTTTCCTGATTTCGTCATTCGTTTGGTTAGCAATTTCACATATTTTTTGTAGTTTGAAAATTTGTAATTGAACCTTATAATTTATAAGTAATTAGAAGAGTACGTGTTCAAAGCACAAGAGATCCTGTAATGGTCATTGATACATATTAAGTTGAAATTTTTTGTTAAAGTCTTGTACCCACTATGCAATTAATACACAGATTATTCCTTAATTGTGGGTTGGTATTTTTTAGGTAAAAATGCACATGTACTCTTTTAAATTTATATAATGTTTTTGTTTGGTTCTTTAATTTTATAAAATATCTTTTCAGTTCTCTAATCCTAACATTGTTAGTCTCAAATGATATATTATTTTTTTTGGCAAATAATTGTTATTTTAAAACAAAATTATTTTAATATGTCAATATTTAAGAGTGTTTTGTTAATATTTAAAAATTCAATGTCAGTATCTTTGTTAATAAAATGAAATTAATCTTATTAGGGTTAAAGGATTTGAAAGACACTTCATAGCCATTGAAAAGACTCTTTTACCTATTTTTTAATATATGTGAACATCCAATTTCAAGCACAATAAACTTGGATTGATCCAATACGTATCCTTATAATAAAATTGGAAGTAAAAGAGAAATATTTTCATTTTTTTATTTATTAAATATGCAAAGTATTAGTAAAGTTGAAGATACTAATTAAATGTCGAATATATGTGACGTATTTTATAAAGTTAATAGGCATTCATATGTCATGTTGCCTTAAGGATATCAAAAGGTCATGAAAAAAAATTTCTGAGTATTATTGCACCTTATATATTTATTTCTTCTTCTTTTTTTAAATGGTTAACATCACTCCATTTTAATAGGCTTTAGGCAAATTTAACAGGATATGGAATGATGCCATCACTAAAAAAAAGTTCATATGTAACCAAGCACTAATATTAACTTAAGAATACTGGCAGCTCTTGAAGAAAAGATTTATAGGTATTTTTACACCTTCAGGCATGCATGTAGAGAAATTTCATATTCTATTGGGCCTGTCTGCATTTTGCTTCCTTCCAAGGACACTAAATGCCATTCTCCCTAAACATTTTGAAAATAGATAATTAAAAAATTGTACACTAGTGAGTCAGCTCCTAATTTTCTGATCAGTTTCCCCTAATTGTTACTAATTTGAACAATTCTATAAGGTTGCAAATCGCTTGAGGGATTAGTTCACTGATTTCAAGTAGTTCAGTTTGGATCTCATAATAAAGTTAAATATCACATTTAAGATTGCATATCTGCATCTATTGCAAACCACTACAAATAATAAATAGAATTTCTAGATAGTTACGAACCGCGGCGACTAGCGAACAGAATAATGGAGCCTAGACGCGGATGGAACAATGGGGACTGAACCAGACTTAGCGCGACGAACTGGGTACGGCTCGATGAAGTAGATGATGCGCAACAGCTTTCAACCTCACAACGACAGACACAAATGGTGGAAAGTGGAATTCCTATCAGCCCGAATCAGAAATGGACGAGCGACGGTAGATCTCGTGAGGGACAAGTTGTAGCAGCTCTCAAGTTTTGAGGTTCAAAGGTTTAAATCTGATGGGGGCACCACAATGGGTCAAATAAGTTCTGTATATCTGTCACTTAATCAAATATGAATTTAATGGTATGCATGGGCTTAGGGAAGAGGATTTTTAAGATTTTCTTTTTTTTAACAGTATTTTAAGATTTTATTTCAATTTCAAGTGTAAGTGGAGTTGTACAAGAGAATAGGTATATAAATGGAAGGACTCATAATATATATGTCTTAAGGTTTTTGGTAATTAAGAAGTGGAGTCAAGTTCAATAATATACATCCCTAATATAATGTTAAGCCTAGAAGGACTCCTCCATGTTTCATGATGCTCCAGAGCCTAATTATTAGTATCAAAGCCCTCCTTACAACATGGACTTTTGCAAAGATAATGGAGAAAATGCCAATGCTAAAACCCCATGTGTATGTGAATAGTTGTTCACCCCACAAGAGCATGGGTGGTGTCAAGTTATACAGAGTGAATAAAGTATCATTTCCATCAAGATTTGATTAAAAAATTGGTCAAGTATTGAGAGTCGCACTTTTCTTGATTTGAGTGACACAATTATAAAGAGAGAAGGGAAATCAATGAAAGAAACCAATGCAAAAGTCAGATTTTGAGTAGTGAATTTTGTGACTAGATAGCCTCAAATATCAACCTACAAGTAAGGATAAATCTGTGCATTGTATGGGTATAAGAGTTTAACAATTTTTTCCCAATTAATATTTTCCTTAGATTTGTATGGTTAAGAACTTGGGACCACTATCATATGGACCTATAATGGACCATTAGTTAAAATACTTTGTTTCTCTGTGTTCTCTAACTCAGTCACTCCTATCAAAAGTTTAATTTTTATTTGGCGTATGCAAAATTAATATTTTGCCTCAACTTGATCGTTTTATATATAAAGCATGTTCATCAATAGAGATCACTCAAGATACAATTAGGCATCTTACTTGTACATGCCACTTAATTACATAACATATTATTGGTGTAATGGTCTTGCAGAAGAGGATTTTATGATTTTCTTATTTTCGGCTTTTTAGGTTTTTTTTTCAATGTTAAGTATAAGTGGATTTGGATTAGAAAAGAGATATATAAGTGAAAGGATATATAAAGCATCTGCCTTAAGGCTTTTTTTAATTAAGAAACGATGTCGAGTTCAATATAGACATCCTCAATAAATAGTTAAGCATAGCAGGACTCCTCTATGTTTTGGGTTATTCTAGAGACTAATAATTGGTATCAAAGCCCTCCAAACAACATGGACTTATTATTTGAAGATGATAGAGAAAAAGTCGATGCTGGACTTATTATTTGAAGATGATAGAGAAAAAGTCGATGCCAAAAATCTACATGTATCGATTGTCACACTATTGCTTAATTTGAGTGACACAAATATCATGTGTGAAGGAGAAACTATGAAATAAACCTATATTTTTTAGTCATTTTGTAGAGAGAGAATCTAAAATGTATCAACTTTCAAGTAAGGATAAATCCATGCATTCAATAGCTACGAGAGTTTCACACTTTTTTCCCAATTAATATTTACCTCAGATTTACATGGTTAAGGGCTTGGGGACCACCACCATATGGACCAATAAAGGACCATTAGTTAAAATAGTTTGTTTTTATGCATTTTTTTTAAACTTGACCACTCATATCAAAAGTTTAGTTTTCATTTGGCATATGCAAAATTAATATTTTGTCTCAACATGATCATTTCATGTGTAAGCCATACACATAATAGAGACTACTCAAGATACAAATTGACATCTTAACTTGTCAAAATCCTCAAATAAGATATGCCGTACATGTCACTTAATTATTGTTATCAAAGCCCTATTTACAACCTGGACTTTTGTGAAGATTGTGGAGAAAATGTGGATGCTAAAAGCTTACATGTATGTGCGTGGTTATTCACCTCACAAGAGCATGGGTTGTGACGAGTAATATAAAGTGAGTACAGTATCAAGTGTCGAGGCTCACAATTTTGCTTAATTTGAGTAACACAAATATCAAGAGTGAGAGGAAAACAAGGAAATAAACTGATACAAATATTAAATTTTAGTAGTGAATTTGAGGCCAGATAGATAGTCTAAAATATCAACATGCGAGTAAGAATGAATACATGCATTATATATTTAAAATAGTTTCACAATTTTTTACAACTTAATATTTACCAGGGATTGTATGGTTAAGAACTTGTGAAGCATTATAATGGAACAATAATGGACCATTGGTTAAATTATTTTGTTTGTATGTGTTTTCTAACTCGATCGCCAGTACCAAAAGTCTAGTTTCCATCTAGCATCTAAGCAATTAAAATTTTATCTCAACCGATCGTTTTATTTGCAAACCATACTCATCAATAGAGACCACTCAAGATACAAATTGACATCTTAATTTGTCAGTATCCTTCTATAAGTTGTGAGGCACATGTCACTTAATCATATATCAAACTATTGGTCTATTGGGCTTGCAGAAGAGGATTTTAAAATTTTCTTATTTTCAGCTTTTGAGATTTATTTCAAAATCAAGTATAATGACTCAAAAATTTAAATTAAACAATTTTCCTTTCCTATTAATATTTTATTTAATTATCTTAGTTTATAGCATAAGAGGAATATTGTCCTAGTGAAATTGTATACTAATTATTTATATAGAGGTCTAGAGTTTGAATCTTACTTAAGTCAAAAAATAGTTTTTATTTTCCTTTATATGAGAAATTACTAAAGTGCCTCTGATTATTGTTATAAAAACATTATAATATCAATAATAATAAAAATATGGGGGGTCTTATTTTAAAATTTTCCCAACAAGATTTGGGTTTCATTTTGTAATTTTTTCAATGAGCTTATTGTTTCCTATTCTTCCTTCTCTTTTGTTGGTGAAAAACGCAGAAAAAATGTTTTTAAAACCGGACCAGATATTGAACCAAAAAAGTCAGCAGTTCATGGTTTGTATGGTTCAATTGGATTAAACCGATGGTCAAACTGGTGATGCAATAATTAAATTAAAAAATTATTTATATACATAATAATTTAAATATAAAAAATACATCTGAAATTGTTATTTAACTTAAAAAATCAAATATTTTAAGTTTATCATGACTTAACAAGTCACATAATACAACACAATATTAAATGATTAAAAAAATTATTTATTTTTTTAAAAAAATTTGATAAAAAATAAAAAATATTTTTTTGAACAGTCCGTTTTTTGAAAACCAGATCTGGTTCCTAGTCCGACCACCAGTTCAAAACAGCTCAATTCCTAAAATAGTTTTCTCATATAAACCAGACCAGAAACGAGACCTATTGATGGTTGGATTAGTCCAACCGTCTGGTCTGATCCAGCTTTAAAAACACTATCGCAGAAGAGAGAGAGAGCGAGAGAGAGAGAGAGTTCTCTGTTTTTCTTCTCTTCTCCGTCGGGCGGGCTTCATCCTTACCGCTGGTGGGCTTGTCTCCCCACCGCCGCCTGTTGGTCTGTTCTGTTCCCTCAACTGGTCGTTTCTTTCTGTCAGGTGGACGCAGCTGAATTCGTTCCTCTTTTCTGCTTTGTTTCGTGGCTGTTAGAGGTGCGTGTATATGCATGTTCAGTTTTTCTCTTTTCCTTCCTTTTCAGTTGTTGAAGTCCCACGTGTGTGTGTGTGTGTTGGCTGATTCTTTTATTTATTGGCTGAAAGTTTAGTCTCCTTCCTTCTCGTGTGCATGATAGATTGGAGCTCCACGTCCGTGGCTGATTTGTATTTGTTGCCACTGAGATTTGTTGGGGTGAGATGCTATTATTTTTCCTGCCTTTTTGGATTATACAGCACCAACGAATCAGTCCCTCCTTTCTCCAGCCGATTCCTCATTGTTGTTGTGATATTTTTAGTTAGGATTAAGGTGATGTTTCGGTTGCTGCTGGAAATTGTTTTAGGGTGATGTTGAGCTGAAATATAATTATGAAATTAAATGTTGAGAGTTGTGGAAATTCAATAATGGACCATTAGTTAAAATAATTTGTTTCTCTGGGTTCTTTAACCTGGTCACTCGTATTAAAAGTTTAATTTTCATTTGATATGTGTAATTAGTATTTTGTCTCAACTCGATTGTTTTATTTGTAAGCCATATACTAACAACAGAAACTACTCAAGATGTGAATTGACATATAATTTGTCAAAAGCCTCAAATAAGGTCCACAGTACATGTCAATCAATCAAATTTGATCAATTAACTAGTATATATGGGCATGAGAAAGAAGATCTTAAGATTTTCCTTTTATATGGTGTTAAAATTTTATTTAAATTTAAGTATAAGTGGAGTTTAACTAGAGAAGAGTTATATAAGTGGAAGGACTCATAAAGTATATGTCTTATACCTTGTTTGGTACCATGAAAATGATTTTGTTGAAAATGAAAATAAATATGGAAGTGGAGATGGATAGAGTTAAAAAAATATGTTTAGCATGTACATGAAATCATGTAACAATTTTCATTAAAAATATACATATAATGTGAAGAGACCAAAATATCCTTACTAAAAAAACCCTAGACTCACAAAATCTCCATCCACTTTCAGAGGCACTGATTCCCACCAGTAATACCATCCATCAACGACATCAACCACACAAATGGAAGAGCCTTTTAGAATAACAACAACAATCAACAAAACAAAGTAGTCGACGATGGAGGAGAGGGTAGGATAAAGCATCAATGGTGAAGAATCGAAGATCTTTTAGTTGTTCAAAAGTCGTTGCATCAGGAAAAAGAAGAATCAAAGATTTGGTCACGGTCATGTTCCTGAAGCCATCGCATAACTGAAATGAAGAAGAGTCGAAGAGGAAGAGGAATCAAAGACCCAGCCAATATGTCGATTCTTCACGATCACCAAATCGAGATCGTTCTTAGCCCCTGAGTTATGGTTCTCATTGGAAGCAACTACCGCTGAGGAAGGTGGTCTGATATTTGTAATGGAAAACGTGGGTCAACTTGAGAATGAAGGGAGGGAAGTAGAATGACATTGTGTAAATCGCCGGTTGGGTTGGTCGGCCTTTTTCTATTTACACACGCACTGTTCTCTCTGTCTTTGAGCTCTGAACCATCCTTCCCTGTCTCTCATCGTTTGCAGGAACATTGTGGAGGTTGCTGATGGTTGCTGGAGGTCGCCAACACTGATTGTTGGAGGTTGTCATTGAAGGTCGACGGTGAACGTTGACAGGAGCTAGAGAGAGAAAAGGGTAAAAAGTGAAAAAGGAAAGATGGAATTGAAAAACTGAGCTTTTGTGATGGAAGCCAATTACATCAATTTTGGTGGAATTGAGTTCCGCATGGAATTCATTTCTGACATACCAAACTAGCAATTTTTTGAATTACTTTTCCATTTCCAATTCTAAGACTAGAATTCTAGTGTACGAAACAAGATCTTAAGGTTTTTGATTTAGAAGTGGAGTCGAGTTTAATTATATATATATATATATCCCCTATATGATGTTAAGGCAAAACTCATCCATGCTTTGGGATACTCCAGAGCCTAGTTATTGGTATCAAAGCTCTATTCACAACATGGACTCTTGTGAAGATTGTGGAGAAAATGCCAATGCTTATTGCATGTTTGCTGGGAACTTGAGGACCACTACCATATGGACCAATAATGGACCATTAGTTAAAATAATTTGTTTCTATGTGTTGCCAACTGGGCTGCCTCTCCAGATTATCATCGTTCAATCGGAGGATATTTTTTTCCCTTGGTGATTCACTGGTTTCTTGGTCATCAAAGAGACAATCTGTTGTTTCCTATTTTTGTGCTGAATCTTGAGTGTCGTTCATTAGCTCATACTCAAAAATTCTTTAGCTTCACTCTCTGTTGCATGAGTTCGGTTTCCTTTCTCAGGCGACCTCTGTTATTTAGTGTGACAATCTTAATGCAGCAGCCTTTGCTTCAAATCCAGTGTTTCATGCTTGGACTAAACACATTGAGATTAATACACATTTCACCTGTCATCTAGTGATGGTGAAGACTCTGACTATTCAATTTGTTCCGTCTGAGCATCAACTTGCTGATCTCTTAGCAAATCATGTGTCTTCTTGGCGTTTTTTTTATTTCTTCAAGAAAAACTCGGATTATCAATTGTTTCCTCTCGTTTGAGGGAGCATGATAAAGTCCAAATCGTCGAAGGCCCAAACCATTAATCAGAGGACCAAGTCCAGTAGTAGATCATTATCGTAGTGCGATTGTATTTGTATTTGTAAGTTTTATTCTTTATTCTTTTAGAAGATCGTAGAATCATGACGAGTATATTCATTCGGCTGTAATCGCCTCTGCTATATATTCAGTATTATTGCAGTCGTGCTCCTCACATTGAGTGAGTCTTTTTCAATCATTTCGTTGTCTTTTCTATTTTCTTAATCCTGCTATACAAAATTTGGAAGGGTACACACACACACACACAAACAAACAAAAAGAGACGGCATCACAACGAAGTTTATTCGATAGTTTTACTAAAACAAACAATTTTGAGAATTGAACATTAAATTTGCAGAAAAATTTTGTTGAAATATTCGAATTTTTTTGAATTATTTGAATATTTCAACAAAATTTCCTTTAAAAAAATAATATTCTATTTTGAAAAATTGTTTTTTAGAAAAAACATTTGATTAAAAATCTCACATTTTCCTAAAAAAGTTTCACATATCTTCATGCCTAAAAAAGTTTCACATATCTTCATTTCATGAAGATATGTTGAAGACTTTTGAAGATTATAGAATACTCTTGAAGAAAATTGAAATTCTTGAAAGATACATTGAAGATTTTTGAAAAAAAAAATGTGTGAATGATAATTGAAGCTACTTGAAGAAATTTTTCTTGAAGATATGTTGAAGTCCTTTTGAAGAAACGTGGATGATATTTGAAGTTATTTGCATAATTTTTTTTCTTAAAGATACGTTGAAGATTTTTGAAGAAGTGTGAAAGATTATTGAAAAATCATTGAAAATATGTATGTTACAGAAAATATTTGAATTGGTGGGGGGGATTAGAGTGATGCGTCAAAATATAATTGGATAATCAGTGCAGGTCCCATTATATATTAAAAAAGCAAGAGTGAAGTGTCACAATATGATTCGTTTGTATGTGTGGGACCTACTATCCTTTTTAATTTTAAATCAGAAGGATATTTTGGTAATTTCTTACTTAATTTCTTTGAAGGACCCTTTGCATTTTTTTGAATTTTGGTCCTGACTCCCAAATATTTTCACCTCATGGTCCTTTTGACCATTTATTTTAATTAAAATGCATAAAATTTCCCTTTACATTAAGGTAATTGCATATGACTTATTTTACTTTTGAATATTTAAAATTAATCTCTTAATCTTTAATTTTATTTTTAAAACCCTCTACCGTTAATTAATTATTATTTTATTAATTTAGTTATTTGTCATGTCATATGAATGCAATATACATGGTACATGACATAAAAAATATTCTTATTATTTTTCAACACAATTTAAGAAGGAGTAAAATTATAATTTTTTTTATTTTAACACACATGATGATGCTCTCATTTTTTTTATTGAATGATATTATTTTCATTATTCATGGTAATATAATTTAAGAAAAAAATTATAATTTTATTATTCTTTATCCATTAAAAACAGTCTTTATATTAAATAAATGAAAATAAAAATGTCTAAAGTTGTTATTGATAAGAGTTGAAAAATGGCGAAGTTGAAAATTAGGGGTAAAGATAAAATTAAAATGCCGCCAAGTTAGGTTGTGGATGTCGGTTGAGTTATCAATCCAAGAGCCATCTGACTTTTGGATGAATTGGCAGTTGGGTTATCAGTCCAAGAATTTTGCTTAATTTTACTGCCCATCCTTATAAGCCCTACAAAAATGAGGTTAAGCTTAGGCTACCCTTAAACCCTTAAAATTAATATCATTAGATATAAATTTTATATTTTACATTGCTTATTTTGTGATTTTCTCCACATTTATTTGATATAATACAATTTACAATTTTTTTTGGTAAAAAAGGAAAGTACAAATAGGGGCAAAGCTAAAAAATTTTATTTGAAAAACTAAAATGACAAAGCATATATGATAATAATAATAATAATAATATATATATATATCACTAACATAAAAAAATATTTTAACATATATATTTATATTCAATTTTACATATACAACAAAAATAAATCTATACCTTCATTTTTAGTTTTGCTCTTCAATTTTTCGTGGTATAAAAATAATTAATCATCATGTCTATGATAAATTTTTTAGTAATTTCCTTCTCAATATAAATTATCATTAAATTAGTGAAGATTTCATCTTCCCACAAATATTGAATAATTTAAATGCATCCTTATGATTTAAAGTTTTGCTCAATCTAAAAGACTTTATTACTTGCTTACTGAATTTATTATTTAACTCTTTTAATTGATAATTTAGTAAATAAATATATCAACATGATAATGATGCTCAGTCGTCATAAATTCCTTATATCAATGAGATCTAAGTATATCATAGTAAAAATAATTCATATAATAAATTTTAATAACTTGGCTATTACAGAAAAAAGTAATTTTTTTAGAAGAGCATATCTCAACTACAAGTTTTTAGCTTTTAGATAAGTGATTTTATGATATATATATATATATATATATCAAGTATATAACATTCAATATATTTTGAAATTTTTGTTGTAGTGCTTGACAAAGTTTTTTAGTAATAATTCTCATAATTTCTTTTATTAAATATAAAATAAAAGTAAAATCAAATGATATCAATGCTTTAAGAGCAACTATAACATTATCTTATTAAAAATAAGTAAATCTTATGATAACTATATCTTCAAGCTATTAAAATAGATGGACTATACATGCATAACAAATTAATATAGAATTGTAATGAAAATTTTATCTAGTGTTTTAAGACTTCTGCAACTTACCAACTTAGGAGATCTAAAATATATAACTCCTATATTTTACTAAAAAAAAAATTAAAATGTTAGAGAGGCCATGACCCTTGCTAGTCCCTCTTGTCTCCACCCCTAAATACAAAAGGCCTAAAAAGGCTGTTAAACAAAACAAAGGTGAGGCATGGAAATCTCTTCAATGTCTTCGTACAGCATAACACAAATGGAAGGGGAGGTCGTCTGGGATTTCAGCTACCAGCTGGAACTTAATACTCCCTCCGTACTCAATTGTAAAATAAAGAAAGGATGATGTAGAGGTTCTAAAAAAACTAATTAATTCGAAGGTCTGAAGTATCAAATTTCAGAAATTTACAAGTTTGATTTTTAATTTTGTAATTTTATTATGATAAATTTGTAACTTATTTTTTAAACTTTACATGGTTGAAGAATAAATAAATTTGTTTTCTATGTTAAAATTTGGATCACAAGTTGCAAATTCATCATAATGAAATTGCAAAATTGAGAACCAAACTTGCAAATTTCTAGAATTTGGCATTTACGACCTAAGTTGAATTAATTGATCTCTTTGAGACCTATCTATCATTCTCCCTAAGATAAAGCTAATTGTTTGAAAAGTTAATACAAAATTTTTTGTCAACATTAAAAGCCAAAACCAATTGGTTTATAACCTTGTTAAGGTAAATTTTATAAAAGACATTATTTCTTTGCCTAACAAAGTCAATAGACAAGAAAAATCCCATCAATGAAAAAAAATTTGTAAGACGAAATCTCTATTAAGAAAAATCTTTCCTTAATCTAACTCAATAAAAGATTGAGTAAAAAGAAACTTTGAAATCTCTAAATAATAGATAGAATATAATTGAAAGCTGCTTATAAACCTGGCAAAGTGCTTTTTCCTAGATAATAATGAATGGAAGTAGGTGAAAATAAATGATTGTACACTTAATTTGTTATCCACTGAGTTAAATGAGACTCTATTTATAATGTGTGATGATTATGATTGTTAGAGAATTCAGTCATTTAGGGCTATTGCATTGCGTGTATAGTTTTATAATACAAAATCATAATTTTGAGAGAGAAGGGTAAAATTCGTTTTAGTACAAAAAAATTGATTAAGTAGGTTTGTCAGTATTCAACCAATTTGGTAACCTAGTAGGCCAAGTTTTACCTAGGAGACTGAGCTAGTCTCGATGACCAGGCCAAGCTAGGCCTCGAGTTTCGTCCAAACCTGGTCTTACCTGATATATATATATATATATATATATATGTTATTATAAATTCTTATTAGTATTAATTGATTTTATGACATTGCTTTTTCTTCATAGATTGTACTTAGTAAATTACTTTGATGTGGTTATGAAATTTTTAAGATATCAATATATTGTTTTTATTTAAAATTTTAATTTGATTTTCCAACTTAATACTATGTAAGATTAATGTATGCTAGTGAGTTTCTAAAATTTTAAAAATATTAATTTTGATCATAATATTATTTTTCAAGAAAATATTTTAGATGGATGTAATTCAATAAATAAAATTTATTTTTTATTTTATTTTTAAATTTGTTTTATATTTTTTTAATACAAGACCAAAACCTAGCCCTTCTATACCAGGCGAACCTTCGCCTGTTTGCATAAAGACCGAGCACTGGTAGGTTGATAATTAACTTGGTCTTGCCCAGTCTTTGTGTATCCCATTCGTGATCAAACTTTTAATGCAAAATCATTGGTATCATAATTTTCAGAGTTACACAACACAACTCTAGAAATTATCTAAGATAAGCAGAATCAAATTAGCATGAGATCTAGACTCCAAGCAGAGATTTCCAGCTTGAGAGAGAGAAGTAGAGAAATTATTAGTTGCTTTGGTTTTGAATTGCAAATAAATAGACGCTTCGATAGTAAGTTGTCATCGAAGCGTGCCAATGGTCGTCGGACATGCCATTCCCAAAAAACCAAACGTTAAAAGGTCGCCACGCATGCATGCATTGTTGATGATCCTCTGTTTTTTCCCTTGAAACGTGGCTTCACCTTCTTCTATCTTGTTCCTCGTTGAATCATGCATATAGTTATAAATTTTTTTGAAGAAGAAAATCATATAAATAGAAAAAACTCTACTACTCAGAATTTACTAGAAGCATCTCATCATGCATTTGTAATTTTATAATATTTATTTTATGATTCAAATATTATTAATCTTAATTGGGATAATTCTACTAATGTAATTTTATCATATTTAAATTATGAGTAGTAGAGAGAAGGTTGCTAAGTCCCTCGTTGAATCATATGAAAACATGATGAATTCCAACTTTTGCGAGCCTAGTCATGATTTATTAAGATGGTTGTTGCGCTCCACAAGTATATAGGTCATAACAAGTACTCATCTGATCCTATTTATAAGTTACTTTTAACATGTTTCACTAGTATAAAAAAATATTTAAAACTCATTAACTCTATCTTAAAATTTAATAAGTTCTCAACTTTGCCCCTATTAAATATACACACTATAATAATATATTTTCTCTCTCCAACATTCAATGGAGGGTAAAAAAGAAAATTTAGTATAAAAATTTAATGATATGACTTATAAATACAATTAAAAAATTCTTTTCTTTTTGTCCTATAAATAGGACCAAAGGGAGTAACACAAAAGTAGAGTATCATTTACATGAAGGTTTGTATTAAAATAGGGCCAATTAAGCGCAATCCAGTGATAAAATTTTATTTCTTGATTGAAAATGGAAATTCTCATGAGTTCGATCGAAATTTTTTAATTGATTTTCTTTGCTCTATTCTCTTACATCTCCTTATATTTTATCTCTCTATCAAAATTTCATAGCTCTACTTGTCCATCTCTTTTATAATTAAACTCATTAAAATATCTCTTCATTCCCCTCATCTCCCTTCCATTTTCCTTGAATCAAAATAGGTCATTTAAAATTTCAAAATTATAATATTGAGTTATATATTGCAACTGCTGTTATTTTTTCAATATTAATTATTTTCAGAAACAAATCCTTAATTATAATCATGGGTGTAAATTTGTAAAAATAATACAAATAATATGGGAATCAATTTAGGTTTAAAAAGGGGGTTGGAGTGGGTTGAGCTAACCTATTGTTAATTAAATGAAGAAACACACCAATTCATACAATTTGTTTTACGCTATATTTAATAAAATCTTCATTAATAAGTGTTGGATATAGTGAAAAGAACTAATCCTTTACAATGTGTAAATTCTCATTAGAATAATAGGTGCCTATATTTAGTGCCAACCTTATCTCGCGCAAATAGAATTGCCTCTAATATGAGAATTTCTGTGCATAATAAAATTTCTTTTTATGTTTTTGGTGTGAAAATAATCCAAGGTATTTCATTCTTGCCATCTCACTAGTCCACATCGTTAATCAATATATATGATATTTCACTGTAAAAGGTTGTACTGTTTACTTTAGATCTTCATATAAAGTACGAGGGCTACATTCTAGATTTTTCAGGAAAAAACGCCATACATGATATGAAGTTTTTCTGACCACATATATAATATATGGTATAAAGTTGAAGCATAACACTTTCACATAAATGCATAATGTGGGAAAAGTTCAAACAAAGTTAATGATGCATTTTCACATTGAACCATTGTTAACCTCTAAAATTTAATGTTATTTGAGTATATTTTTCTTAAATTTCAATATATTTTGTCACAATTGTACTAATAAGCTTTTTTAAAAATTAATTATGTTATATTTAACACAATTATTCAAGAAATAATTTGATCCAATAACCTCCACAATGGTTATATGGGGCACTAAAAGTTTATTTCTGTCAAGTTTATGCCTAACGATCGTTTCATTTTATTTTAATTTCAGTAATATTCGGTACACGTATTTACCATGTTAACAATGAGAAAGAGTTAAGAGTTGGTTTTAATTATTTGACTTGATAAAGTCATACTATTTAAAATTCTGTGCATGTCAAATATCAGCGTCGGTGATATTAGTATCTGTGCATGTAGAAATCTTCTCAGTAATATTAGTAATATTCGGTACATGTACAAATATTTAGGAGCCACATGCTTCACTTAACCTCCATCAACTGCCACTTAACGCAGAGGCAATAATATTGGTTTTGATTGTTTTAATGAGAATAATGTATTAAAATTGAGTTTAAGAAAGTATAGTTCAAAAATAAAAGTAAGATTTAACCCTAAAAAATATATATTAGTCCTTCTCCATTAATTCTTGAATACGGAATGGTTGACATAGATAAAAATAAATAAAAGATTTAATTAAATAAACTTAAAAACAGTTGAAATGAGAAATTTAAAAACACACAACACAACCACTCGTTTTTATTTATTTAAATTGCTGGTGCTTCATGCATAGCCAGCATATGATACAACATCATCAAGGACATCAAAGCAGAGGATTACATTTCCATTTATTTATTTAGCACACTTGTTTTTTTTTTTTTAATTAAAGTGCCGATAATGGCAACAACCCCATAGTATAATTATTTAATATGCTATCTGAATAGCATTTCCACATCAGATCCAATAAGTGGCTGAACGAGTGAAGAATCCTTTCTTCACTTTCTGTGCGCTCTTTCCAAGACGACGACGACTTTTTTCTTCGTGAAGAATTTGAGCCAGTCTGCAAAGGTAATTAAAAACATATATAAAATCGTTATAGTAAACACAGTAAAAACATAAAAGTTCTTTCTTTCTTTCTTAAGGCACGACACTACCTTTCTTTAACAAAATAAAAATATAATTTGTATCAATATATTTCAAATAATATCAACAATCAATAATGAATGTATGATATATAGCAATATTAGTATCGATTATAGAATTTACAGCAAGCTATACTGATGTAAATAATACATAATATGGGTCAAAAGTCAAACACTGTATGTAACATACGTTTGTTGGTAAACATAACTAGTTTTCCTTGAAAAGGCTAAATCTTTCAAAATTAAAATAAAAAATTGTATATTTGATCCATTAACTCTGCATAAAATTTCATTTTGGTCCCTTAATGATTGTTTTCACAAATAAAATCATCATTGTAGACTAATAATGTCAGAATTAAAGGGTTAACTATACTTTATAAAATTAACATATTAATACTGATATAAAGTTACAAGACGAAATATATACTTTTTGCCAAATTAAAAAATACAATAATTATTTGGCATATTACGTACGTACCTGTCCAGAGCTTCAGCATTGGTACCTTCCCCAGTTTCCTCAGGAACAAAAGTATCCACATTCATCCTCTTAACTGGTTGATCCAACAACTTATTTCCTACATCTTCGAGTTTATCCATATTTGCTTCTGATGCATCATCCGATTCAATATTCGGATCTAAATTGCATTCCTGCTCCATCAAATATTATTGTTAGATATACATAAATATATATACACCTTCCAGTCCCTACTATCTTTTGAATAACTTCCAGAAATTAAGGAATGATAGTTAACTCATTAAATATATCTTAAGTTGATTTTTTTTTAACTTTACCCATATTAAAAATAGGAAGAGGGAGATACATAATTTATAAGGAGCCATAAAATTAAATTCAAAACAGGGCTAAAATTGAAAAATAGTAATATCCATTTGCCTTATATTAAGGATGAAATAATCTTTCCAAAAGATGTTCTATAATGGGGATGGGAGGGAATATGATATAACAATTAATATATGATTAGCTGTTGGAATATTAGAATGGATTAGTGCTAATCACATTAGTTAGTTGGTCACCTTAAGTTCTATATAAAGGGTGCCACAAAATGTTAGAGGTTAGGGGTTGAAATCTTACCTAAAAAAGGAGGTTAAGTTGGTCTTCATCTCATAGTTTGGGGTTGTATTTTTGTCGTTAGATTAAGGGATGAATTATTGTTGTTAATCCTTCAAGCGAAGGGTTATGTTGCAATGCATAATCATCATAAAGAATGTATTAAATTTTCTTCTCTTTGTAACCTTAACATTGACCATTAATTATGAGGAAGTGAGTCTAAGTAATTAATTAACACATATATACCTGAATTCGAAGGTAGTTTTCCTGAGGTTGAAGTTTGAAAGTTGAGTTAATGTAATATTCATTCATGGTTGACGTTGCAGCGATAAACATGGGTAAGATGCCTTCCTTCCAGTCACTGAGATTCCAATTACGATTAGCATCATAACCGACGCTTGTGTTTCCAACTCCAGTTCCTATAGATAGCAAAATGATTTCTTTGTTCTTGTATTCTTGACACCTCACTGATCCCAAGCCTTGCCTGAAATAATATATATATTACAGTTAAAATAATACTCAACTATACTGATTATATGAACCCTAAAATCAGGCCCGAAAATTACCGGCATACTTGCGATAAAAAGACCATCGACGAGATTGAATTCAGTATTGTTGTAATCGAAATAATAGGGTGGAAACTCATTCGGTGCTGCTGAGGTTCCTATACATGCGTCCAAGAGTTTGACATTTAAGTGAGGAACATCCTTTATCTGCATCGTATATGTATAATTTAGTGGCTTGCCTTTCGTTGGATTGAGTTAATTCATTAATTATAAAAACATATATATTATGATAAACCTTGAAGCTTGAGAATATAGTTGGCTCCAGAAGCTTGATGTCGAAGGCAGAAATCACAACATTTATGGTTGTCTGGTTTGGAAGCGTTTCATTCAATATCTCGGCTGCTATTTTTCGTAAAAACGTCCCGTTGAACTTCGGACACTGAATGCCAGGATATTAGCTGTTGACAAGAAACAAATTAAAGATATCATCATTTTAGCAATGTTTTTCAATAATATGGATTATGACCTGGATAATGAAGCATGTTTCATCATCAAATTAATTATTTGAATTATGACCAAATCTATCTTATACTCCTCTAGTACTATTTATAGGGCAGAGAGATAATATTAATTTTAGCCTTATTTATAGGACAATTCACTATTTCTATATTTATCTTTTCATTTGTATCCTTATTAAATGTTAAAAAGATTATTAAAACTAATTCATTTTGTCCTTATTAGGGGTAGACGTGGAAATTATTAAATTTTAAGACATTAAGGTTTTTTTTTATTCTGGTGAAATATGTTGAAAATTACTTATAAATAGGACCAAATGGATTAATATATTTTAAGATTATTCTCTAACACATCGATAAGCATTCACATACATACCAGTCGGTGAATAGAGTGAAGATGGAAGGACCATATTGTCTGTAGAACTGTAGAATTTCATCAGCAGGATAGAGAGGACGACCTGGGTTTTGAGGGTCAGGGGTAGTGAGCATTGCAGTTATAAGCCCTCCGGTGCTGGTCCCAGCAACCACATCAAAATACTCTGCTATTCTTGCCCTTGAGTTCCGTTTCTGAAGTTTGTTCATGCACATTCAAATATTGTTATTGTTTTTGTTTTTGTTTATGTCAAATATAGATGTCTAGATAATACTAGTAGTAAGGAAAATATTAGATGTACGATAATCTCACTTTAAGTGATTAAAGAATTAATCACAACTACATAAATGTGTGGTCAAACCTTTCAAAGTAATTTAAGCTACTTTGGTAAAAGTGGCAAGTCTTAGTGTGTAATTAATGCAAAACTCTAATACAGTTCAAGAGCTGGGGCCATCTGGTACTTTTAAAAAAAGGCAAAAAAGAAAAATATTGATATTGAAATAAATAAAGAAAAGGAAAAATAGTTAAGAAACTTATTAGATATACAATAGTCCCACATTGAGTGATTAGTGAATTAACCACAATTATATAAATGTGTATGGCGAGTCCTTCCAAATTTTCTTAAATTATTTTGGTACAAGTGACAAACGGTAGTGTATGATTTATGCAAAACTTGTAATTATTAGATTTGATGTCTAGATGATGTTTTTGTATAAACGAACACAAATATACCTGGAGGGCAACTTCAAGATGTTTAAGGATAACTCCCGGTACAATCCCTTTAATACATCCTCCATCAATGGCAAGGACTATAACCTTTCCTTCTTTATCGTCTTCCTCAACAATAGCAAATGCAGAGAATACAAAGAGGAACAAAAGGAAGAGTGCTAGTTTTGACTTCATAATGGAGAGAAGGATAAGACTTCCAGGGCTTGGAAACACAGAAACTTTAATGAGACTTTTGTAGCTTGAGTGGTGTGAATTCGTTGATGCATGGCTCGGGTTTATATAGAAATTTGATCGTGGCGAGAAAAAATACTTATTACGCATAGGCCAAATGGAAATTGAACATATGTTATGCGTGATTGAGTTAAACGCATAGAAACACACAGCATTTAATCTAGTGGTCCATATTTTTTAAAATAATTGAAGGGGGGTTAAGCTAGCCCGATGGGGGATTGAATCTACCACCACTTCTAGTGGCTCATATTAATGGTCCAGTTTAGAGGTCCATGAGTTAATTCATAATATATTTGGATAAAACTCAAGGGGTAATTTCCTGATTTAGTCGTTCGCTTGGTTAGCAATTTCACATATTTTTTATAGTTTGAAAATTTGTAATTGAACCTTATAATTTATAAGTAATTAGAAAAGTATGTTCAAAGCACAAGATATATATTACTTTAATGATCATTAACACACATTAAGTTGAAAAAAATTTATGAAACTCCTGTACCCACCATACAATTAATACAAGATTAATCCTTAATTGTGGATTGGTATTTTTTAGGTAACAATGCACATGTACTCCTTTAACTTTATATAAAGTTTTCATTTGATCCTTTAATTTTATAAAATATCTTTTCAATCCTCTATTCATAACTTTATTAATCTCAAATGATATATTATTTGTTTGTGCAAATAATTGTTATTTTGAAAAATTTAGTTTAATATGTCAATATTTAAGAGTGTTTTGTGAATATTTAAAAATTCAATATTGGAATTTTTGTTAATAAAAGGAAATTAATATTATTAGGGTTAAAGGATTTGAAAGACACATTATAACCATTGAAAAGACTCTTTTACCTATTTTTTAATATATGTGAACATCCAATTTCATGTGCATAGACTTGGATCGATCCAATATGAAATCCCTATAATAAAATTGGAAGTAAAAAGGAAATATTTTCATCTTTATATTTATTAAATATGCAACGTATTAGTAAAGTTGAAAGATACTAATTAAATATCAAATATATATGACAGATTTTATAAAGTTAATAGGTATTCATATACCATTGTTAACAGATATGAAAAGCTCTTGAAAAAAGTTTCTAAATATTTTTGCCCCTGATATGTTTATTTCTTCTTTTTTATTTTAAAATGGTTAATGTCACTCCATTTTAACAGATGTTAGGCAAATTTAACAGGATATATAGAAGGATACCCTCACTAAAAAATAGTTCATAAGTATTCATGCACTATTATTAACTTAAGAATACTAGCAACTCGTGGAGAAAAGATTATAGGTATGTTTGCACCTACAAGCATGCATGTAGAGAAATTTCATATTTTATTGGGCCTTGTCTGCAATTTTCTTCCTTCCAAGGGCACTAAATGCCATGCTACCTAAACATTTTGAAAATAGATAACTAAAAATTTGTAATCTAGTGAGTCAGTTCCTAATTTTCTGATCAGTTTCCCCTAATTGTTACTAATTTGAACAATTCTATAAGGTTGCAAATCGCTTAAAGGATTAGTTCACTGATTTCAAGTAGTTCAGTGTGGATCCCATAATAAAGCTAAATATCACATTTAATAACATTGTGTCTATTGCAAACCACCAACAGAATTAGAAGCGTCCTGATCACGAATTTGGATGGCAGATCTAGCATTCGATTTCTGGATGAGGGTTTCTGTATAAATAAGAGATTAAATTTCTAGACAGGTACGAATGGCTGTGGCTAGAGAACAGAACTATAGAGACTAGACCCGGATGGAACAATGGGGGTTGAACCAAACTTAGACAGCGTGACAAATTGGGTACAGCTCGATGAACCAGATGATGTGCAACAGCTTTCAGCCTCACAATGACGGATACAAATGGTGGAAATGGGACAGGCAGCAGCAGACTCCTATCATCGTGGACCAGAAATGGACGAACGACGGTAGATCTCATGAGGGACAGGGAGTCGAAGCTCTCAAGTTCTGAGGTTCGAAGGTTTAAATCTGATGGGGGGAACTACAGTGGGTCAAATAAATTCTGTGGTATCTGTCACTTAATCAAATATGTATTTAATGGTATACATGGGGAAGAGGATTTTAAGATTTTCTATTTTTTTAGTATTTTAAGATTTTATTTCAATTTTAAGTATAAGTGGAGTTGTACCAGAAAATAGGTATATAAGTGGAAAGACTCATAAAGTATACTCCCTCCATCCCTATGTATAAGGGGTTTTCTAGAAGCTTATTTTGTTCCTAAATATAAGGGGTGTTGATGATATTTTTGAGTCATTAGACAATTTTACCTTTGTCTTGAAAAATAAAATAAATCATTAATTGTATATTGTTCCTACCACCATCATGATATTAATTATGATATTATTAAGGGTAAAATTGAAAAATTATTGTATTTTTATGTGAGTTTAATTAAATAACAAACTTTTATTGGTATGCAGGATTTGGTTAAAAACACATTATATATAAGGACGGAGGGAGTATGTCTTAAGGTTTTTGGTTTCCACACCAACAAATTACATATCAACAAAATAAAACTAAGTCCTAACTATAGTATACGTGAAGCACTAGATACCATTGTATAATATTACATCAAAATAAATTTTTAAAGCATGCCTCCACATCAATGAAATAATGAAACATACGTTTAAACTAACAATAAATAATGAGTTTGCTCAATAATATAACCGAGAAATTAAACAATGACCAGAGAGATAGTCTAAAATATCAACCTACACATAAGAATGAATACATGTATTATATATGTACAATAGTTTTACATGTTTTTACAACTTAATATTCACCAAGGATTGCATGGTTAAGAACTTGTGGACCATAGTAATAGAACAACAATGGACCATTGCTTAAATTACTTTGTCTGTATGTGTTTTCTAACTCAATCACCACTACCAAAAGTTTAATTTTCATTTGGCATATGTATAATTAATATTTTGTCTCAACCCAATTATTTTATTTATAAACAAAACTCATCAATAGAGACTATCAAGATACACTACAAAAAGATATTGTTTAGATATGCCTAATAATTTGTCTCCAACTAGTAAAAAATCCATCTCTAAACAAGTAGAGATGGGTTTAGAGATGAATATCCTGGTGTCTCAAAAAGGGGAGTCATTAAATAATTAGAGAGGAATTTTTTAAGCCTTTGCTGATTGGGGGCGTATTTTTTAAGCCATCGCTGATTAAAGATAGATTTACTTTGTCTCTGAATAAAAAATGCTGTAGTCTCTAAATCCTTCTCTAAAAAAATGAAAACTAAATTCCTCAAGTCTCCACTACCATGTTAGTGTCACGTCACTTGCCACGTGTGAATCAGCTAATGCCACGTTACTTGGCACCTCACCAGCCATATGGGCATCTGCACATGCCAACTCATCCACCCATGTATGGTTCAACTAATGCCACGTCACGCATCATATCACCACCTCATGCCATATCAGTTGCCACCATATGCCAAATCACATATTTGTTATAAAATATGCTAAGGCCAAGATTTGATCCCTTGATCTCCCACTTTCAAAGCCTTAAGTCCTTATTTTTTACTAGTTAAATTGAAATATACCTACAGTTATTATATGTGAAATTAAATATATGTTACTTAACTACATTCACATATATAAAATAATCTATTATTAAGAAGAAATACATATATTTTATTTTATTTTCTATTATTAATATGATAAAATTATTTATATGACTATTTATATTTTATTTTTAATAAAATATTATTTTTGTTAGAAAAATGAACTTAAAATGAAAAAAAATAATCTAAATATATTATTTTTAAATGAAAATAATTAAGTATATAATTTATTTTAAAATATGTAATATTTTAGTTAATATGTAATATCTTTTACTTTTATATTCTCCATATTATTCTCCAAAATTAATAAATAAATGATTAAAATTTTATATTCTCCCAAAATGGTTAAATGTTTTCCATTCTTTTCTTACAAATAAATTTTATCTATAATTTTTCAATTATTTTATAAAAAATTTTGACCATATAAACTTTGTTAATTGTCATTTTGAACAATTTTTATTTTTCAATGAATAATAATAAATTTTAAAAACAGAAATTTTTAAATTTAATATTTAATTTAAATATATTTATATAATTTTGGTATTTAAAAATTATTTTTATCAAATTTATTTAATATGGAACAAATTAAATTTTAAAAGAAAAAATGACAATAAAATCCCTTCCAATCATATAAATGAAAATCTAGTCCCTCAAAGTGTCATAATTTCACTGAAGTTCCTAAGGATATCCCTGTCAATAAATTTTAAATTGAAAAGACTATTTTACCCTTATTGACAAATTGTGATTTCTAGTTCAATTATTGTAATTCTTTGAAACAAAGCTGTGATTGATTAAATAAAATTTGTGGATGGGGTTTGTTATTTTAAGAACTTATTTTTCAATAATAAAATTACATATAATAAATTTTGATTGCTTATTCAACTCTTACAATTCACAAAAAAAAGGTTGCTATTTGTTAAGCAAAAGTTATGATTAGGATTTGTTTTTTGGTAATAAAAATTACATTTAATAAGTTGTGATTTCTTAAACAAAAGTTATGATTGGAGGTTGTCATTTTTAATAAGGGTAAAATGGTCTTTTCACTAAAACATTTATTGACAAAGAGGTTCCTAGGAACTTCATTAAAATAATATTATTTTGAGAGACTAAATTATCATTTATATAATTCAAAAAGATTTTATTGTCATTTTTTTATTTTAAAATTTTAAAAATATGTTACACACACACTTTATTCTGTTTATCATAAGTTAAATATTATTTTATTTATATAATTTAAAGTTATACTATATATCAATAAAATAATTATTTTCTTGTATAATTCAAAATTTATTTTTCTTTTCTCCTTCCTTTGCTGAAAATAAACATTATTGACACATACATACATACATACATACATACATACATATATAACTAGAATTAAAAATGATATTTTGTAC